AGAGAGAGAGAGATGAATAGACTGAACAAACCCTCAGAAAGACAGATCCAAATGCCCGAATCCACCAAAGCCACTGCCATTGATTCAGGCATCAAAAAATTTGTCTAGATTATTGTAGAAAAATGAGAGGAACGTTTTGTGATAAATTTGACATAATTTGACCAAAAATCAAGAGGAATATAGAAAATTTTCGAGTTTGGGCTGTAAAGCCAGACCTATTCCTAATTCCATAAAGGAAGCAGGATGGTCTATGACCGATTCCGATTCGGATCAGCCGATTCTAATTCAGGTTGGCATTTTAAACTATAGTTGTTGGAAACGCCTGAGGTTCCAAATTGTTTTAGGAATCGAAATCGGGGATCGCAGCTGGCTAGAAGATTCCTATTTTCAAAATCAACGTATGTACAAGGGCAATTGCAGTAAACGAGATTCCTACTTTATAGGAATCAAGATTTAACCCAAATGGAATCAAGATCCCTACATATATGCAATCGAGATTTTGTCCTCTTTGGAATCGTGTTTCTGACCGATTTGGAATCGAATCAAGATTCCTTCATATATGGTATAGAGATTCTGATATCTTTGGAATCGAATTTTTTATTTTATGCTTTACATAGGTTCCCTATGTTTGTGTTTCTAATTTGATGGAGAGAGAGTATCATTATATGTGGAATCCAAATTCAATACAAGTAGAATCGAGATTCAACAATTGCGGAATCGAGAACCAATAAATATTAAAAGCAATATTCTATAAGTCCTGGAATCGATATTCCTAAAAGAAGTAATTGAGATTCCTGACTTCACAGAAACAGATTCCATGAAGATACTTTCCTAGAATCAGGATTCCGAATCGGAATTGCAACCTTGAGTCAGAGATTCCAATAACCATGTTTTTCTGAGAGAATGTTGCTTTCTTGTCCTCTAGAACTTCAAAATAGTCTTTGCTCCAAGCTTTGAGCTTTGATTTGAGTAGTTGCGGTTTCCATCCATGAACCCCGGCCGATGCCCACCATGTTACTTGATCAATTTTTTGTAGTTGTTTGCCCCACATGTACGCTAGCTCAAATCGAAAAGGTGTAGGTCCTAAATGGGTAGGTTTGGTGTCCAAATATATTGATTTTTTGAGCTTCTTTGGGGATGGCAATGGAAAAGTAACAAGTTATCTCCCAAAAAATTGCATGAAACCATCCCATAAATCTTCCATATAGAAGAACCCCAAACGGCCTTCCTCTTAAGATCATGTCTAAGGGAGTGAATATGCCAACCACAGTGGTCCACAGACAGAAGTTCAATCTCTCCTAGACAATGGTGTCACTTGCTCAAAAGACAAGCATTCCAGAAGTACTATAGGTTTTGCATTTTGGAGAATCTTGGCCTTCTCTCAGCTCAGGGATTTGGAGCAAGATGAGATCGGTTTCTCAGTTGTTCCTTTTCAACAGTGCGAGTCAAAGATCGAAGTTTGTGTTTAGTGGTATCCTAGATGGTTTTGGGAGCTGTTAGGATGGAGGAAGGGAAAGAGTATACATGTGTGTTTGCTTTGTAAGGGGGTCAGTGGATCAAATTGTTGGTGATACTCTGCAATAGAAATGGAGAGCCACTAGATTGGGTTAGGCTGATGACGTGTTTGGTTAATATTTAGTTGACAGCATGGTTGGTGGTGTCTATTAGATAGGTTTCGTAATGACCCTAGTGTGTGTTTTGGCAAATTTGTTGATTGAAGTTATGGTTTCTATGTCAGGAATTGTAGTTGATTTGATGGGGTTTCCTGAAGGGCCTATGTTGTGTTTGGTGAGGATTACTATGGGTGTCTAGGGAGTTATCCCATGGTTGGTGGAAACCGTGACATCTTGCCATACTTCATTCTCTTTCCCCTAGAAGAGAGAGAGAGGCTTGGTTCCTTTATGGAACCAGGAATCGGCCCAACATTACAACCCAAAATTGGAAATTGTCATATCTCAATTTTTTGCCATATTCTATCAAAAATTTGTCATAATTCATTCCTCTCTCATTAATCCACAATAACACTAACAAAATTTTTCAAATCAGAACCAGAAATGTCGAAATCTCAAGAACGGATTTGGAGTTTTTTTTCCAACATTCTTGGGATCCAATCCCCCATTCTTCAGGTGTCTCTCTAGTATTCTCTCTAATTTGCTATCTACTGACGAGTTAGATAAACAATTGAACAACAGATCTTTTACAAACGAGTTTCTATAATTTAAAAACAATTCGATCTTTTGACTTATATTTTCAATGATTTCACTTATTTTCACAATGAAAATCAAATTTTTGTTGAATCGAAACTATTGATTAAAAAGTCCCATTTGATTTTGTATCAATCAGTTCTTCATTCACTGAAATTTTCTCTCACAAATTTTCAGATGGCCATTCTTTATATTTATCAAACCCTTCTTGTTTGATGTTTATGATAAACATCATAAACAGTTATCAAACTTTGTTTTATTAAATCATATTTCAATCTGGATTTTTTTTTTTACTTTTCCTTTTTGAATTTTTCCACCATTTTCAGCCCAATCACCCAAATCGGGCGATCTAAATAAGAACCGGCGATCCAAAACAGTCCAGCGAGGTATTTACTGAATACACATGCATCTGGACGTACATATTTGTTGAATTAGAGATCCAGCATTGGTAATCTCCTAGCTTCATTAAAGGAGTCAACAAGTTTATGAGGCGGCATGCCTGTACCGACCATTATGTGTGGTCAAGGTAGCATTTGCTGGACAGGTATTCCTTTTATTTCTCAATTATTCCAAAGTATTTAAATTGAGCTAGACAGCACACAATTCATATTTTTCATCAGATGAGATGAAGAGTGCAAGTTGACTGAGAACATGGGTCCACAAGTCGAGGACAATAGGGAGGAACCATTTTTTAATTAAAAAGCAACAGCAAGTGATGCAAAGAGCAAGCTAATAAGTAGGACATTAGCTAGAAGGAGAGAAGCAGGTTCAACACTGATATGAATAAGTCAAAGGCTATAAAAGCAAATTAAATTTTTTAACTTGCCTGTCGCAGTATTGTACCAAACTGGCGCATGAGTTCTTGCATTCGCTTTGTATATGCCGCTTCACGACGAGATGCATCTTGCAGCTTCTTGTTATTTGTTCTGGCTTTATCCTTTTCCCTCTCTTTCAAAGAGGAGCTTCCTTTACAATTATTCAACTTTGTTCTAATAGGAGAGGAGAAAAATTGAGCGACCTCATTCACTTTTTGCTCCAGCTGCAGTTACAAGTTATTTAGTTGGGACTAGTCGAAAGCATGAAACATGATTAAACAGATCATGCTTTAGAGACATCCAAAAAGGCCAAGCCCAAACAAAGAAGAGTATCTACTCATTTTCCATTGATTATAGGCAACAATACACAGTTGACAGTGCTTTACATGCACGTCATACTAAAACTATTAGTAGAAGTATGATGCCAGGAAATTTTGAGTTTTCTTTCAAGAGTTCCATTCAACATTACAATATTAGCACAAAATCTAGAAAATTTAAGAATTTCATAAAGTACTTTGAATATACAGAAAGGTATGGTAGTACATGCCGTACAAACAGAAAGGAATATGCAGAGATCAATATTTTCTAATTCTTAACAAAAAGTACAGCACACCTCTTCCCACGTGTTCGAGGAAACTAATGTACTTCCAATGGGACTACTCACCATTACATTACCCTTAGTTGTTTATGATTCCTGTATGTCTCTTAGGTGCATCTTTGAAGCAGCTTGCCATAACCTATGCTTCGCAAAGGCGCTTTTTAAATATCAAAAGAGAAGTATTGGACACATCACATGTAAGAACTAAACAAATTTGAGTGTTTCATAAAGAGAGTACCCACATATACTGTTTAAATCTCAAGAACTCTGAGCAGTAAGCATACACCACAAGGGCTGCAGTATAGTTGCCGGAACCCTGGGGTCGGTCCCACCTTTGGAACCCGATCCCACGGTTCCTCTAAGGAATCTTAGAGGGAGCTGGGTTATAGAAATAGGGATCCCGCTCCCAATAAAATGGGATCTCGGTTTACATGCTTGTATGACTAATGGGATCCCTCTAAGGTGCGGATCTATATGACTAATTGAGCCACTACTCCTCTCCTTAGTATTATATTTTTTTTTCTTTAAAATATGCTACACTATGGTGCATATCACATCATGGTATACTAGAATTATGGTATTTAGAAAACTACAGTTTTAATATCATAGTAAAGCCAATTTGTGATATTCTTAAATGGTATTATTCTACTATATTAGAGTCTATAACTATGAAAGTTGTAATAATCTAAGGTGTATGATAATGGATCAAGCGGGCATTGGTTCGATCCTAATTCTATAATATATTATTAATTGATCTCTTTTTATATAAAGTTGAGCTTAGATCCCTCCAAGTCAAAACCTCAATCACAGTGACATGGGATCTTGCTCAAGCCAATTTATGATATTGTTAAACAGTATTATTGTAGTAAATTAGAGTCTATAACTATGAGATTTGTAATAATCTAAGGTGTATGATAATGGATCACGCGGGCATCGGTTCGATCCTAATTTTATACTATACTATTAATTGATCTCGTTTTATATAAAGTTGAGCTCAGATCCCTCCAAATCAAAACCTCAATCATAGTGACATGGGATCTGGCTCAAAGGTATTAGGATCTAGCACCTCAACTTGTTAAACATACATATGTCAATCCTAAACCCAGGGACCCTCCACCCTATGGCGGTTCAGCATTCCCCGAACCGATCGCGATGCCAACCACTTCAGCCTCTAAAAACTGTGGGCTGAAGTTTTACGCAGCAGGGATGAAACTCAAGGTGCGGGGCATTTCTGTGAGCTATAAATGTTCGCCAGTAGAAGATTTTCTATCTCCCTGCACAAGCACTTCCAGTTAAATCAGTGTGCAATATCAAAAGACAAAAGACAAACAACTAATACAAACAACAAATTTAATAAACCATGGATACGAAATCCAGATAACTTTAAATGCCTTTACAAAATACCTAAGAGTTCTGCTTGTGATACCATGAAGCAAAACACCCAAACACTCACCCAAACGCACAAGGCCCCGATGCCCCCAGAACCCAACATCTTGAGAAACCACATTAACACCAAAAGAGAGAGAGAGAGAGAGAGAGAGAGAAGTCAAACTTGTCACCAGCTTTCTTTGGGTCAACAACAAAAGGAACCTAGATCTTGCAAATAAAAAATGGCAATAAGTCATCAAGAAAATAGAAATATAGAGTGGCAACACAAGCAACCTCAACATGCACTCCTCTTTGCAAAATCCTTCTAAGGCCTCAAACTTGCAGCTTGAGCAGACATTTGGTTACGGAAACAAAATAAGATATACTACCATTGATTTTTAGAAAGGCCCAAAAAAAAAACAAAGGACACAATCCACCTCCTTAGTCTCCAACAAAGTAGGTGCTTTATTTAGAGAGGACGGCGCCACAAAAAATCCAGAAGGTCTTTGTACGCGAGATCACACAGGAGTGGTACAATCACTAAAATAAACTGGAGGTGATCAATATTCAGTTGGACCCAAATAAGGTGAGAAGGCAGTTAAGGCATGCAGGGCCAAATCAAGGAGGAAGTTGACATTGTTTGCTAGCATGGCAGGTGCTGAAGCTAGGCAACAATACACCTAGCCACGAAAAATGAAGTAACAAACCTTTCCAAATAATGAAGTGCTAATCTTTCAGTCATTTACCTGAACATTAAAGACATATTTCCAGACAAATAGTTACGATAATGAGTAGCAGATGTTTATGCTTTATGGGTTGCAGTTAAGTGCAGTCTGCACTTGTTCAGAAGTATAGTATAACATGACAACATGACTCAAGCTTAATGAAATTCTCCTACTGGAATATATTTTAATGGGAGTTAGAAATAAATTTTAAATGTGGTGTATAAAACATATCCTCTGTCATGAAATCATATTCGTGTACCAGAGTTCCAACAAAAATTTGATGGAAAATATAAGCTCTTGAACCACAATTACTTTTAAGACTTAGTATTACAAATCATAAAGCACCAATCCGTCATGTTTCCAAGGTGACAAGTAATACAGAAAAGCATTATCTCATCAAAACGGCAATCAAATTTCCAAAATACTACTCTCAAATGATTTCCTGAGAGAACTTAGAAATTCTGATAACGAGTCGTACTTTCTTTGATATTTGTTAGAAACCCTAGTTTACAGAAAAGAAAGTAAACCAGCTATAGTAAAAAACATTGTTTTTCTATGCAACAAACTAGTAAGCAAAATAACTCAAATATTATATGACAAGGAGGAAGCGAAATAGTGGAATCATCCAGAGGAAGAAAGAGAATTAACAGACCAGTGAGCTCACATCATCAATCTTGGTTACCATCTCATCAACCTGTTGCTTCAATGTCTCCTCCTCCGAACCTTCATTCGATAGATTCACCATTCCCATTGCTTTATCTATATTCAAATGGCTATCCTTCATGAGTGGCACATTAGTAGCAGTCACGCCCTCCATACATCACCTTCGTTTTTGCGAGCTTAAAATCCTGAAGAGGTAGGGCAATATCAGAAAACACAATGAATTCCAGGAATCAAGCCCTAAACTCGAGTTCGATTTCTATGGTATGCAGTAAAAATATTACATACAGACATACAGTTATACCGCAACTTTGTATCAATCGGTATGGTGCCTGCTATCTGATGAGACCAAGGTGTCCTCCAAGTATTTCCCACCAATCAATCCGAAGGTGAAAAGTCCATCTATATGAACTTCTTGAATCTCAGGATGGTGCCTGCTATCTGATGAGAAAGCCTGAGAAGAAGCACAATGGGCAGGGGCCTTACCCTTCTATCTGTTACACCAGATGATGCTTCTTCTTTGCAGCGTCTGAATAAATGGGTTTTGTCACTGAGAGAGAGACACTGAGTAAAGAAGCGAGAGAGTAGGGAGATAGCGTTTAGAGAGAGAAAGAGTAGAGAGACAAAAAGGGAGTTAGATTTTGCAGCCTCTGAATCAATGGATTTTGTCACTGAGAGAGAGAGGGCTTTGTCACTGGGGGAAGAGAGGAGAGAGCAGAGAGGCGAGAGAGGAGAGAGGAGAGAGAGCAGAGAGTCGATAGGGAGTTAGAGAGCAGAGAGGGTTGAGAAAGAGTGAGGCGAGAGAGAGAGCAGAAGAGGCGCGGAAGGAGACGAGGGAAAAGGCCGCACTTTCGTCGTCTGAAAAAATCCGAAGTCTCACTTAAGTTTATTTGGATGATAGTTTTCGCCTTTGGACGAGTATTTTTTTTTTTTTTTTTTTTCATTGAAAAATCGTCCAATTGACCAAACGGTCGGTTTCTCCAATTTTGATAACGTTTAAATTAATATTCTAATTTTGAGTACATCTAAACCAACACTTAAGTTTTGCTTCAAAATCTATCGACGCAATAGCTTGAAAAATGTAATCTCCAATTTAGTGGTAATCAATGTATATCATTTGTTTCTTGTTTTAAGTTATCAAGAGAAAATTTATTTTTATTTTTTTCTTTCTATATTTGCTACTTTTAATAATTCTTGAAAATCATAAAATTGTTTTATCTCTACGGGGGTGGGGGTGTTTAAATTTTCAAAATATTCTTTTAAAGATTTCAATTTTTTATTTTCTTCTAAATCACTTAAATTTTTCAGTTACTTACTCTGCTCGGTGGCTAGAATATTTATACTTAAGGCCCAATTTGGATGACAGAAAAAAATATTCATATTGGAAAAACATACAATTTTTTTCTCCTCAATTGAGAAATATTATCGTTTTATTTTATTATATTGGTAGACTGTTTGGATGTCTATCAAAATATAGAGAAGAAAATTTTATTTTCCAGATATGTCAGTTTGGATGTGTTGCAATAAATTTTAAATTTGTATTTTTTCTTTGTTTTTCTCATTACATAAAAATATTTGACCAATCTTGATTTTTAACTTTGTTCTTTCATGTGTATGACAAACATATAATTTGGAAAAATATGAATTATTGCATAGGCATAGAGAGGATAATAAACAATTATATATTTTTAAAAATAAGAGTTTCACACCATTTTCATAACACATGAACGATAACCCAAGTGATTAATATTATAATCCTAAGTGGAAAAGAGAGTAGTGGAAAACATGATTACAACCATATATATCCATGTGCCATATTATATTCAACAGTGAGCACAATAGTCATCCCAACGTGCTTTAGCAATACGATCTCGCAGTTCATTGTCATCATTCTTACCAGCTTGAGGGTTACATCATTATGTTGAATACTTGTTCCTTCAACTGATCCAAGTGCAAGATCACTATCATACTTCGCATAGATCCAATCATCACCACTTGTTCTAGTTCGGATATGATTATGTAAAGTGCACGTAGCAACAACAATCTTAACTTGTGTTTCATAAGGATATGCTGCTGCCACTTTCAAAATAGGGAATCTTTTCTTCAATACGCCAATAATGTTCTGAAGAGATGAATGCCGAAGATTGAAGAGCTCCTTTGCATTTTGTGGGGCTAAATTTCCCTGACCATAAGCCTTCAGATGACACCTCACACCTCTAAATGGAGCTATGAAGCTTCGTGTGTTCGCATAACCCGCATCGACGAGATAATATTTATCTGAATGCATATAAATGACCAAAGTTAT